AAAAGTTTAGAGTGAAACACTCAGAAAGCTGAAAGTGTCTCTGAGAGGCTGCGTAGTGAGTCCCAGCGGCCTGGAGACGCCTACACCCACCGACACAATCCGCCTACCAAAAGAGGTCAGCGTTCTGGTGAGAATGTCATCTGCAACGACCGCCCGCCTGGGGCTGACCGGCTCCTGCCGCGGAGGCACAGCCACCTGTATTCACAAGGGCAGACGCAGGCCGGCGCGCTTTCATTGGACAGATTAGCTATGGGCAGGATCGGGGAGTCTGCAAGCGGAGCAGATACAAACGATGGTGTGGGCAGACACTGCAAGGCAGACCCCTTCCAGTCCGCCTGGGTGGCCCAGAGCAGCTATCGCTCCAGGCGACAGGCGGCGGGCCTCAGTCGCTACAGTTACCTTCGCACTTGGCCATCTCACGCTGTGTCTGCTACAGTCAAGTGCGACACATACAACCTCTCCACCCTTCGTGCGGGTGCATGCCATAGGCCCGTGGTCACCGGCCTTTCATTTTCCAGGATGCACCTCGGCCACCACACCTGCTGCTGTTAGACTCACCTGTCTTCACTTGCTATCCAGGTGGATGGTGACACAAGCAAAAGGTGGCTGTGACTGACTTTGCGCCAGCATGACAGGCGATTGCATGTCCTTCTCCACGCGGCTCAGGGGCGTGGGCTGGCTGCAATGTGGCAAGATGACAGCAGAGGGACGACACCTGGCCACTCCATGTGCTCACACCTAAATGGAAGCAGGTCAAAGGTTAAGGCCCCCGGAAGATAAACAGACATCTAGGCACACACCATGGGCCTCTATAGGACACGGCACCCCCTCCCAGTGGACCCCTGCCCGCCTCCTCTGGGAGCCTCGCTTCTGCACTCAGATTTCGATGGTTTGTATTGCTTCAGTTTGGACTGTTCTTTTGCTGTCCCTCCATCCCATGTAGGCGTGAAATCATCTGATTTGTCTTTCTCTTTCTGACGTTGCACTCGGCATCCTTCCCTCCAGTCCCACCCAGGTTGTTGCAAATGGCAAGCGTTCATTTTTTATAGCTGAGTAGTATTCCATTGTGGCTATATACCACATCCTTACTACACCCATCCATCACTGGGCACTTAGGTTGTTTCCATAACTTGGTGTTTGCAGATGGAGCTACAGTGAATACAGGCACGCACACAGCCCTTGAAATGAGTGTTTTGTATTCTTTAAGTAGGCACCTAGGAATGGGACTGCTGGATCACATAGTTGATCTATTTTTAATTTTTTGAGAAACACCCACACTTTTTTCCAGACAGGTTGGATTAGTCTACGTACCCATCAACAATGTATGAGGTTTCCTTTTTCTCCAAAACTTCACCAACACAGGTTTCTGTTCTTTTTGATCTGGGCCATTCTCACAGGTGTGAGGTGGGATTTCATTGTGGTTTTGACCTACATTTCCCTACTGAGAAGTGATGGTGAGCAGTTCTTCACGTGGCTATTGGTTTCTGCATGTCTTTGGAGAAGTGTCTGCTTAGTGCTTCTGGGAACGGCTATAATTTTTTAAAGGAAAATGATGTGTTGGCCCAGGTGTGGAGAATTAGAACATTCATGCATTACTGGTAGGATTTTAAAATGGTGCCATCTCTGTGGAAACCATTTGGTGATCCTTTGATAAGTTAATGAAGATCTACCACATGGAGCAGCGATTTCATCCCTAGCTACGTACCCAAGAGAATTGAAAAGAAATTGTTTCCACAGGATGTGCACAAGACTCAAGTCTTAAATGTAAATGTTTGTTGCAGCATTTTTCATGTGACCCAAAAGGTGGACATTCAAATGTCCATCAGTGGATAAACAGATAAAGAAAATGGAGTGTGTCTATAGAATGGAACATTATGCAGCCTTGAAGAAGCAACAACGTCGAGTAAGCTGTGAAAACATTATGTTAAGTGAAAGAAACTAGCCACCAGAAGGCACATATATGATTGTTTATATGAGATGTCCAAAATAGACAAGTTTATGATTTAGAAAACAGTAGTAATTGACAGGGTGGGGTGGAGGTGGGGGACGGAGAGCAAGGAGAAACTCAGTGGAATTGGGGCTCCTTTGGGAGTGATGAAGTGTTTAGAACTAGAGGGAGCACCACTTTTTGAACGTATTGCAAGTCCTTTGAGTTGTGCACTTAAAAATATGAGTTGTGTAGTGTGTCCATATCTTAATAAAGCTGCTACTTTCAAAGGGAGAGGAAGAGAGAAGGAGAGAGGGAAAGGAAGGAAGGAAGGAAAGAAGGAAGGGGCTGGGGAGGGAGGCGGGAGGAAGGGCTGAAGGAATACCCTGTCACCTGGAGTCCATCTGCAGTGGCCTGGCACACCTTTGCACGAAACATCCAGCTTTACTCTGGCCAAGAAATACTTCATTGGACTGAACTTCTCCCTTGTCTTCCGGGACAGGGACAGGAAGAAATCCCATCCTGGCCCTTGCTCCACCATGAACTGGGGCCACGTCCACAGCAACGTGAGACCAAACAGCTGACGGCAGGGCACGAGTCCTTGAAGCCGTTCAGGAAAGCAAAGCAGAGACACCAGTTGGGTTGATGCATTTCAGTTGTACAATGGAAGCCCAGGTAACATCACTAGAAATTCCAGATGAGACGACAAGGCAGGCCACACCTGCCGGGCTAGACACCCCCTCACCCCTGTGGTCAGTTGCTCTGGAAGTCGCCACATCTAAATTAAGAAGGTAAATTAGCAGCGCACGGATGACTGGGATGCGTTGGGCTTACTTCTGTTTTTGGCTTTTTACTTGAGATTCTGGACACTTCCTGGCGTCTGGTGTGTGCAGGGAAAGTTCGCTCGTAGCTCCTGAGGTGCAGGAGCCCCAGGCCGGGGCAGACACATTCAAGACAGACCCCAGGCGTTGGCGGCTCTGTCCCCGCCCACGAGAGGTGGCTCGTCTTAGGGGCTGTGGGGACAGTCAGCCTCACCCCAGAGCCACCGCCTGGCGACGGTTTGACGCGCCTGCTACCTAGTAGCTCCTTTTCCCTGTGAGGGAGCTGCAGTATTAGCCCACTTTCGAGAAGAGGAAGCTGAGCCACAGAGAAGCGAGACAACTTGCTGAAGCTCACACAGCTAGCAAGTGCCACGTACGACTCAAGCCCAGGCAGTTTGACTTGTGCCCCACTCCTGGCTGAGAACAGCACGTCCCTCACAGGCCAGGTGGGAGGACACGCCATCGCCAGGCCCAGCCATGGGCGGGCTGCCTTCCGGGCGCTGCACTGGAGTGGGGGCACATGTCCCAGCTAACACCCAGAAAGTGTGCAGAGGAAGCATCTGCTGCTATCTTCACATGCACAAGGGGCGCTGGAGTGAAACCGGCATAAAGCGTTTCGCGGGGGCCCATGACGTGGGACCGGCAGAGGGTCGCCTGCACATCCTTGGCAGAGCCGACCACCAGGACTGGTTGTTCATCTACCACTGGGCGCTGCTGATGCAGTGTCTGCGGGGCGTGCCGGCAGCTTGCCCACAGAGGCCCGCTGACCCTTCTCACCCCAGCTCGACTCAGGCCCCCAGGAGAGAAACGTGTGCAGCAGACGCCATTGTGACGGCAGGGCCCGTGACACCACCGGGCCGACAAGTGTCAGAGCGCTGCGGCGGCTGCAGCCCTGTCTCCTGGAAATTTACGACGCCCAGTCAGCGCTGTCCCCACCTCTGGTTTCAGTGCTCTGTGAAGTCAAGGGATTCACACAGCGCCGCTTCTGCAGAGCAAAGTGCCCCTAGCCCCGAGAGCAAGCGAGCCGCAGGCTTCCGCTAGTCAAGCTCAGCAGCAAGGAATGAATCAAGTCAGTAGCGTAAGCAGACTTTCCCTGGGGCTGGGCTTTCTAGAAGCCAGAAGGGGTGCCAGGGGGCAAACGTGGCTCCTTGGCGATTCATTAAGAACAGTTCGGCAGCGTTCTGGGAAGCAATGATTTGTGGCAGGTGCGGCTCTTCCACCCCACGTTGTCGTTAGTACCTAAACCGGCTCACAGAACCAGTGCTCTCCGGACAGCAGCTGTTAAAATCACTTTTCAGTACGACACACAAATCCCCACTGGGTTTGTTTGTTTGCTTGTTGTATGAGGGAGGGATTCAGGGAGAAAATCACGGTGGGCAAAAGAGTGGGCGTTCAACATGAGAAGAGGTGAGCAGAGGTGCAGCTACTGCCTAGAGGAACAAAGCTTCCAGAATTGCACACACACAGCCCTCATGCGAGGCACGCTGCGGTCAGGCACAGACAGGCTCCGGTGGCCACACACTGTCAGCGGGCCGGAGCTTTGGGCCAAGGCTTTGGGCCGAGGCGATATGGCCTTGGGTTCAACTGACAAGTTGGAACTTGGCAGATGAAGACAGAAACCGAGAGGCGGGAGAGAGGGGATCGCAGAGCAAGAGGGGAGGTTGCAACCTGCTAGGAAAGTTGCATGCAGATGGACACAGAGCAGCAAAGAGCAAAGGAGAAAGCCACTGGAAGGTGCGAAGGCTGGAGCCAAGAGTGGGAGCACCGAGGGGAGCAGTGTGGCGGAGGCGGTCTTCAAGGTGTTGGGGAGAGAGTGACCCCCACAGAGAAGCCACTCTTCTTCCCTGTACCAGTCCCCGGAACTTCTGACACTGTGAGTCCATCACGACAAAGTCACAAGAGTAAATGAAAACTCAGCCCCCTCAGGGCCCTACTTGATTACTGAGGAAATGGTGCCGATGCTCACAGCAGACAGCACAGCGGACAGCACAGCGGGCCATGTGTCGGCAAACCCACGACGTCGCCAGTGGCCCCTAGCTGTCCACACAGGCCCGCCGAGGCATGGGCTACACCTCAAGGCCAAAGTCTCACAAAACAGCCCGGTCGAGAGTCCTGTTTGACTCCCTCCGTCTTCTACCCCCAACCCGGCAGGGAATTGTTGGGTTCACCCTTGAGTGGCCCACCCTTGAGTGGGTTCACCACTTCTGAGTGGTTCTCAGAAGACAACCATCCTGCCTTTTCGTTCCCTGCAGCTGTACAGGGAACTCCTTGAAGCCAGGTCAGCACAGCAAGACAACACAGAGAAGAGAACCGTGAGACGCCAATGGCGACTCTTCCCTGCCCGGCTGGAGGCCTCTAGCGCAAGGAAAGCAGGGGCCTTCACTCGGACGGTGAGGGCTGGGCCCCGCTGGCTGGCGGAACAAATGTCTTCTTCAGTGAGTTCACTTCAATATCCAAAACACAGAGACGTTTTGTTTGCTTGTGTATCGTTGACTGAGGCTCAGAAGGAGGCGGGAGCTCAGGAGACCCCCTGGGAGGTGGCGGAGCCAGGACAGCGGCCAGTGGTGCCTGCCACGCGCCGCTCTTTGTGCCGCAGCTGAAGAAGCTTTCAAGTGCCCGCCAGGAAGGTGACGCCGCCACCTCAGCACGGTGTGAGCACTGGGCAGATGCCCCGTGTGGCCGGGGCTTGTCAACCGCCTGCTTTAGAGAAAGGCTGACTTTGTTCTGAGATCGTCTTTGTGCTTTTACTGACATCAAAGTGTTCTTTCTTGTATAAAATAACTGCTACAAGAGAAGGTGTCCAGCGTCGTGGCACCTCTCCCCCACCGTCTGCCCGGCCCGCGCCCCCTCAGCCCGGCGCCCACACGGGTCCCCGCAGCACTCAGTGGACCGCTCTGGTCCCGAGCCGCCACTGGCTACCCGCTCACCCCGCGTCAAAGTCAAGTTGCCACCACGGTTCCCTGAAGCCACCGTGTGGCCTCCCGCCACTCTGGCCCTGTTGCCCCCACCCCTGCTCTTCCTCATGACACAAAGCAGCCCCCACCTGCTGCTCTTGCTCCTTGCTCTGCTCTCTCCTGGGAGCCTCCCCTGAATGCCCTGCACCCCCCTTCCTTGAGGTCCTTTTGTGCGAACCCCACCTTCGCTGTGAGCCCCTCTCGGGGGGCCTCACGCTCCCCTGCCGCCGCTCGCTGCCCCTTCCATGGCGTGTTCCCGGCACCGGGCTCCACCTTGCAGCCCACATACGTCCCTCCTCTCCCTGTGCGCCCTCCTCTTCTAGAATGTGTGCTTTCGGACTGACAGCAGAGTCACGCTTGCTGCTGGCTTTGGTTTTCCAGCCCTTATGTCCCAGTTCTCAGAAAACGACTTGGTATGTAACTGGCACTCCACCAGCAGTGGCTAAACAGGGACTGGGTACAGGGCTGGAGACAGATGGCGCAGAGGGCGCCGGGTCATCAGTGAACAGCAGCCCACAGAGATCACGTGGCCCAGAAGGGATGTCTCTGCAGGGGACGAGGATGATCGGGGAATAGTTTAGGATCAAGATGCCCATGAAACAGGCAGAGAGCACTGCCCACCGACAGAGCCCTGGCATGGGCACAGTCGAGCAGCCCAGGGGTCGCTGACAGTCCATAAGGCACCCACATTCAAGCAGCTTCGCGGATCACATCTCGGCTCGCAGTTCACACACGAGCAGGCGCACAGATCAGCTGTGTGGTGGCTGAGCCACAGGGCCGAGGTGGCGTCCCCACTACTCCGCCTGATTTTCGGCATCGCCAGGAAGAGAGCGGAGGCTCTCACACTGGCGCTCCGAGACCTTGTGCTGAGCATACAGGTGCTGTTAGCCTCGCCCTTCGTGGCCACCAGCGGCCTCTCGGCCCAGCTGACCGAGCACTACTGCCTGTCCCGATTCAGAGGTGCTGCGGGAAGGGGCCACAAGGCGACATGCGTTCGTAGGAGTTACTGCTGTACCCCAGGGGACACTACACTGACACAGACGGCCACAAGAAATGAACCCGAGGGAGGAGCAGTGAGAACGTGGCTGAGGACGAAAGCACACGGTGCTCAGGAGTCAACGGTGAGGGGCGGGCCAGTGGCCCGAGAAGTACCTCACACCCAGCGCGGCGTGGAGAGGCCTCTGCCACCTCCTGGGAGTCACGCAAGAGAGATGGCCCGTTCCCACCAGGGACACTTCACAGGCCACTCAGCTCGTACAGCGCAAAGCCCGGTGACTCCCCAGCACCCTTTGCTGACGGTGCCGCCTTGGGCCCTGCAGGGAGGTGCCGCCAGCGCCCCAGAGCCGAGCGAGCAGTCCATCCATTCGTGCACTTAAGCGTCCTCCCCCGGAATGATCTCTGCTCCCTGTGTTTATCTCCCTCTGTTTCACTGAGCTTCTAAAGAACGTTCTTTTAGTAAATGTCAGGCTGACTCGCCGGGATTCAGGAAAACAATCAGACAAAATAGAAAGGCTCCTTTGGGTTGGAGCGCGAGAGCTGGGGGCCCCTGGTGGCCAGAAGTGGTAATGACCGCCACTTTGCAAGGGGGATTTTCCGATTGCAGATGCGCCCGGAAGTGGGTGGACAGGCGGTCCTGTCCTTGCGGACACACAGGCATTACTCTGGCTCCCCGCTTCTCTCTCCTCTGTCTTCAATGAAATGTATGTGCCTGTCTCTGCGTTCGTGTGCTGCCTTCCGCTCAGGTCATCCAGCTGTTAATGTCTCATGTTTTGCTATGTCTCAGTTCTAGAAGTTCTATTTGATTTTCAAGTGAACTGCCACGTGTTACGATTTTCTGGCTCCTGGAGATATTTGCAAGATTATCTTTTATCTTTTGGAATATGATAGACCATACTTGTTATAATCCGACTCCTAATTCCGATAACTGAGATCTTTGTGAGTTTGTTTTCGTCGTCTGCTTTTCCTGCTGGTTGTAACTCAGTGTTTTTTCCCTTTAGCCAGTTGTTTTTGACTATGCGCTGATACTCTGTAGAAAAAGTCCTTGTAAGAATGATTTCGGGCCTAGCGTGGAAGGACCATCCTGTCAGGAATATTCCCCTTGCCCTGACAAGTGCCGAGTCACTGGGGCCACCTGGAGCTTCAGCTTCCTGGCGCTACCCAGGTGACAGGCGCTGGGCTGCACATCCACGCCAGGGGGCTGCTGATGTCTGCCTTCAACTCGTGTCTCCTTTGCTCACACGCTCAGGGCCACAAGTCTCTTCAGAGCCATCACACGGCCAAGGGGGAGAGGGGCCATGGCAGACTTCCCTCCCTGGGCCCTTGTTTGCGTCCAGACTTATCCTCACTGTTTCCTTTTTGAGTTGACAGAGCGAGCGTGCACGCGTGTGAGGAGTGATGGCCACAGCGAGGCTGGCTACCATCCTCAGCCCCACATCACCTTCTTCGCAGCCCCACTCTCATCCCAGGAAGACGGTACATTAAGCCGATTGCAGCTGCCACGCTACATCGGACCCCCCAGAACTTAGCCATCTTCGAGCCGGCAGTCTCTACTCTGTGACCAGCAGCCCCCTGCCCTCTCACCTGCAGCCCCTGCCTACCCCTGTTCTACCCTCATTTTCTGTGAGTTCCCTCCTGTAGCTCGCACAGATGAGCACGCATGGCTTTGTCTTCCTGCCTGACCTATTTCACTCAGCGGAATGCCCGCAACCCATCCACGCTGTCACAAAGACACATCTCCTTTGTCAGGGTCGACTCACACTCTGTCCGTCGCTGGCATCAGCCGCGTCCCTGCCTTGCCTGCTGTGAATAACACTGCAGTGAATGCAAAGCTCAGCCATCTCGCTGACACCCGAATTTCATTCCCTTTACGTAAATACTCAAGAGCAGGATGGTGGAATCATCAGGTGGCTTTGCCTTCCATTTTTTGAGGTGCCGCACGGTTCCCCACAGTCTCTGCTCCACTGAACCCCACAGCCGGGCAGGGGCTCCCTCCTCCCCACCTCTGTGCACATGCTCATCTCCTGACTTGCGTGTGGCACCCTGTCCCAGGGTGGGGGTATCTCGTCGTGCTTTGTGGCTCTCCATTGGCGTGTCTTCTTTTGAAAAGCACCTGTTCCGGCCTCTGGCCATACCGAGATCTGGCCGAGTGTGTCTCTCTCTGCTACTGAGTTGTGTTAGCTTTCCATGGATGCTGGGCTTTTTTCCTTTGGGGCATGGGCTTCGCAATATTTTCTCCTCTTGCATAGGTTGCTATTGGTCTTTCCTTCATTGTTTTGTTTTCTTTGCTGTGCAGATGCATTTTAGTTTGACGTAAACTACTCAGTGATTTTTGCTTGTGTTGCTTACAACTTGGCACATGCAAAGAAATCACTGTCAAACGCAGCCTTGCGGCGCTTTCCGATGCTGACGCGTCTTTCGTCCATCTGAAGCTGCTTCTGCGTGAGAGTTTAAGATGGCGTTTGACTTCTTTTCCACACTGGGCACGCACCCCTCACGGAGCACTCTCCTCCCAGTTGAGCCTTCTAGGCACCCCCTCACCAAATAACAAGTTGGCTGGACCTGGGGGGGAGGAGGGCGGTATTTCTGGGCTCTCAATTCTGCTCCAGTGATCTCTGTTGCCTATTTTTATGCCACTACCCCAGGGTCACTACGGCTTAACAATGTAGTTTGAAATCAGGAAGAGTGACGCCACCGGCTGTTCTTCTTTCTCAGGGTTGTTTTTGCCATTTGATGTCTTGTTTCCCTAGGGATTTGGGGAGCATTTTGTTTTTTTGTTTTTTTTCATTTCTGTGGAAAAATGCCATGAGAAGTTTGAGGGGGGTTAAATTGAATCTAGCAGTTAGTCTCGCTGTTTTCAGCCCCTCGCGACGATGATCTGTGCCTCTGTTTGATCCAGCATATTTAGCTGTCCTCACTGGGTGGGCTGTGCCTGCCAGCGGAGAAGTAGGCAGTGCCTGGGCCAGCGCTCGTTATCCTTGTCCTCTCTCCTTCCCAGCGCCTCCTTCGAGAATGAGCCAGGAAGCATCCAAGACACTGCTCTGGGCGAGTCACTCCTTGCCCAAAGCTTCCAAAGCTTCACTGATTAGCGCAGCCGGCAGTTCCGCGGTCTGCATGTCGGGGCCCACAGCTCTTTTCCTTGCCTTGTGTGTTTGCTGTGCTATGCCCTGAGCGTGGGGTGCTGACTGGGCTGGGGTGTCTTAGGTTCCACCCACTGGCCTGCTCATTAGTCCCCTCTCACTCCACGCCCCCTACACGTAGAGGCTGGAGCCCCACCTGGCTTCAGAGCGCAGAGGGGCAGACGCCTAGATCAGCGCTCTCCCTCCCCGACCCCATGACCGGCTATACGGATTGAGTCCTTTCAGTTGGGATATTTCAGAAGGTTCCAGTGAATGTTCCACACAACAGCCCAGGAAGTGTGGACAGGGGGCATGCTTGTGGTTCCTATTACCTCGGGGGCTGTTTGTCCAGGAGCTGGAGGCGTCAAGGAAGCATCACCTCTAGGGAGACAGTGGAGGGAGCGTCCCCTGGGGGTGCGAGGTCTGGCCTATGAACCCAGCAGCAGCACTGAGGCATAAAACTCCTAGCTTCGGGCTTGTTTCCCCAGAAAACCAGGGCCCAGCACCCGCCCCGGCCGGGAGTGTCATGCCTGGTGCCAGGAGCGTCCACCATCTCAGTAAGTCTACTCCCACCTGCTGGCCATTGTCTGAACTTCAAAAGCCGAATTATGCTGAGGCACCCGCAGTTCTGAAAGGGGATTCTCTATGGGGCTTGGAGCGCAACTTGACGGTGGGCCAATCCACTTTCTTCATCTGGCGCCTCGGTTTCCCCATGATCCAAACCCAATGCTTGGCATTGTGACCTGGAAACGAGCCTCACGTTGTCCTCAAGCCAGGATCGCCTCTGCAAAGATGTCCGGGTGACGGGGGCAGAGCTGGTAGCAGGAGGGTGGGCTGGACTGGGCCACCGCCATGGCCAGCAGCCTAAGGGTCCACCCGCCGGTTTTGCTTCCGCACCTATGTGGCACACGGACAGAAGAGAGCCTTTGCCACAGCGACAGGGAAGGAGGGGAGGGAGAAGGGAAAGGAAGGCTCTTTCTCGCCTGCTGAAGAAGGCAGGGGACTCTGACACACGATCTGGCAGGAGTCTGGCCTAACGAGGCTAAGGAGGCAAGGCTGAAGTCTTGTACCCTGGGCTGTGGGACGGCACAGTACTGGGTTCCCCTGGGTGTGGCAGGGAGCCAAGGGTGAAAGCCACGCTCGGCACCACCCTTTCCTGGCAGCCTGTCTTGGGAGGTCTGAGCTGCTGACCGCCCTCCTGGCCCTCGGGTTCTGAGAGCCGTGGTTCTGAACTGGCGGGCCATGGACCTGAGAGGGGCTAGGGCACCGAGGCCAGCCATTTCCTTCCCCTCCGAGCTCTCTCCACCTGCTGAGGCCCTGGCTGGCCAGTTGCGGCCAGCCCCTGGAGGCCTGGAGCTCTCACTCCTGGGCAGCTCAGTGTGACCCCCAACTGGGGAACCCTTCCACTTTCCGAGCTTGGCCTGGGGACCCAAACTTCGGCCAAGAACTCTGGGGCTCCTGTCCCATTCCCGACCTCAGAGGGAGACACCCCACTTTGCCGGAGCTCTGACATGAGACCCACTGGAGATCCCCAGCAGCCTGTCCAGAGGCCGGCACTGGGTGACAGGCAGTGAAGGGATGGGAAGGGCCCCTCGTGTGCCCAGATTTTGCAGAACACTGATGCAGCCAGGGGTGTCAAATCCCCGCACTGCCTTCACCACGCAGGGGAAGGAGCGAGCAAACACAGAACAAAGTCTGGGCCGCTTGCTCCCCTCACCTCGCCTCCGAGAAACACGCATTTTTGCATTTTCGCAGAGGGGACTCGGCCGCCCCCGTGGCCCGCAGAGCCCCG